TAAGTACCTCTGGAGTTGTGGGCAGGTGCGCCATCTTGCTGAAAATGCAGATGATGTCTACTTATAAGATCCAATTCGTCTAAGAAATTAGTCAGAATTTCTGACATAAATTCCACATATCTTTCACCAGTTAGGGTTCCCTCATAAAAGAACGGGCCAACAATTTTTGAACCAATTATACCGTACCAAACGTTGAAACTGAAACGGACTTGTGGGCCTCTTGGATGTACTAACAAAAGATTTTCTCTTGACCAATAATGGTGGTTTTTTCTATTAAACATTCCAGAATTTGAAAAATTTGATTCATCTGTCCATAAAAGGTAACGAAAGTTATTTACATTTTGGCGACAGAAGCTAAGATACCAATGGCAAAAAACAAGTATTCTCTCTGGATCCCCTGCCAAAAGCGTTTGAACTGGTCGGTACTTATACGGAATAAATTTGTATTTTTTTAAAATCCTTTGAACAGTACCATAACTGAAATTAGAGTCCTTGAGAATATCTGCTATTGAATTCTCACGATAAGCTTCAAAATATCCAATAACTGCAATTTCCGTGGCCTCGCTTATTATGAATTCTTTTTTTGCCCTTGTTTTAGCAAAAACATTTTCGTTGCCCCTAAATTTTCGACAAAGTCTCAGAAAATATCGTTCATACGGTTGAATGCGAGCGGGATATAATTCACTGTAGTATTCTCTTGCTCTCAAGGAGGATTTTCTGCACACTAAATAGCATTCTAACATATCACACTTTTCTTCATGGGAGAACATTTTTCTTTAAATTAATGACACAATAAAGCTTATAAACAAGTATTTACACTAATGTTTGACATTATTTGATTTTATCATTGTTTTCCAAAGCCTTCTAGTTGCGAGTATGTCCAGTTTAACAATTTGTCGCTTATCTTAATGCTGTCAAATCGCGAACGCCATGTTGTTTTCATAGCCGTCTTAATATTATAATACTGCAAATAATTAAAAATATTTATCGTTATTTTGACTTTATTTTTGACTTTAGCGGAAAAGTCATTATGAACTTTTTTATTTAAAATTTGATGCTTTAACAGAAAAAAATATAATATACAGGGGTTTCCATTTAAAAAAATGTTATTTTACTACTTTTACTACTTTTTTTTTATTTCTCATTTTTACCAGCGTTAAAAATGCTACTAGTTTGCTAATTCAAACAACTTTGTATTTTCACTAATAACAAAGTTACTAATGGTGGACACTTAATTTGGATAACCCTGTATACACTTCTCCGCATGATTATTTTCTCTCTCTCTCTCTCTCTCTATATATATATATATATATATATATATATATTCATAATGGCTACTCTCTGCATCAGTTTGCCGAAGGCACACAGGTAGATACATCATTCAAAGAAGAAAATAGAAAATCCAGCGATAATATTATGGAATATTCAATAAATCACAATTTAAAGATAAATCCCAGTAAAACTCAAATGATCATATTCGGATCAGCGCGCAGTCAAATCATTGTATATGGTTGACTCGGTCAACTAGCGCGGTGACAGCATAGAAAACACTATGCTGTTGCATGGCAGAAATACGTTTGATTCCATACCAGAACACTCATCACGGTTTGTGCAATACGCCAGCAACAGCCGCAGCCGATAGAAACTCTCTCGAGAAAGTTTTAAGGGCTGATGTATGAAGAAATCTATGATGTGCGAAATATGTCTAATAGGTGCGTAGAATTAACAATACAGTGGAATCCACTTACTTGCTTATAATGGAAACCCTTATATAATGGACATAAATTCAGGTCCTATAAATAATTGCATGTAAAATCCTCGGATATTATAGACTCGCTTAAAATAGACCCTCGTTTATAGCGGACTATTTTAATCCATTATATGCGAGCTATTTTGGTAGTTCCCCGAAGCAGATTTAGCTGATGCAATCGATTACGGTGGTTTGGCTTCACAGTTTACATTCGAACTTGGCCATAAGTGTTATACTGTATTTATTAGAGTTATAAACATGTCGAAAAGTGCGAAACGTGCATCCACTTTACACGAAAAGTTCACAATAATTAGTGAGCTTAAGCAGGGTTTATCTCAACCAAATATATGTGCTCGTATGGCTATAAAAAATCCACTGTGTCAAATATTTGGAAAAACCGTGACAAAATAAAAAATGACAAAATCAAATAGTCAAAAGAAAAAAATGCGGCTATCGCTGCATCCCCAAGTCGATGATATGCTGTTTAAATGGTTTCAACAAAAGCGTGCTAATAATTTTCCAATAAGTGGACCTATGCAACAAATAAAGGCTGAAGAATTTGGTAAATTGATTGGAGATTACTTAAAATATAGTTCCGGTTGGCTAGACAGGCTTAAGAAAAGACATAACATTGTTTTTGGAAAAATGTTTGGTGACTCAGCAAGAACATTACCAATGACTGGATTTCTCAAGTTTGGCCCGTAATATCCAGGGATTATTCAGATGATAACATATTCAATGCAGATGAAACCGGGATATTTTATAGAATGCTACCCCAGATAAAACTCATAAATTAAAAAGTGAAACTTGCAATCGAGGGAAACTATCCAAAGAGCGAATAACTGTAATGATTTTTGCTAAGGCTTGTGGTACTGAAAAATGGAAACTATTGATAATAGGTAAGTGAATGAATAGAAATTTATGTTCTAATTTTTTTGATATTCAATGGCAGTGCTGCAAAGAATTTATGACCTTTTTTTTACAGGGAAATTTAAGAATCCCAGGTGTTTCAACAATTCCCGTCGATTAAGTTGGAAATAATAAAGCTTGGATGGCTTCATCAATTTTTGAAGAATATTTAAAAAAGTGGGACGCTGAACTTGTTGAGAAAAATCGTAAAATTTTGATCTTGTCGATAACTGCCCCGCTCATCAAATATTTCACTTAATAACATCAACCTTCAATTTATTCCACCCAATGTGACATCAGTTCTGCAACCAATGGTCCAGGGTGTCATTTGGAGTCTTAAACAAATGTATCGGAAACATATAATAATAATAATAAAAATAATAATCCGGCTTTATTTATACAAAGTATAAAAAGGCGAAGTGTCGCTAAAAAGCGTTTTTCAACTTAACCCAATATATGTTGATGAAAATTATGGAGCTTCAAGAAGATGTCGACATTACCAAAGCTGTCACCATTCTAGATGCTATAAATTTGCTTACTATTGCATGGGAATTGGTTACTCCAGAAACGATTCGTTATTGTTTTCGCCATGCTGGTTTAGTGAAAAACATAACTGAAATAGTCAACGATTTTAATCCAGAAGATGGTATTCCATTAAGTGATTTACTGAAAATTAATAATTTACTGAATATAGACAAATTTAAAGAGTATGTAAATAATTTAATAGCAACACAGGAATTGTCAGACTCCAATTTGGGTAATGAAGGATCTGTTGATAACGAACAGGAAGACGAACTAGAAAACAACGATGAAGAAGAGCTTCCAGTGACAACTAAGGAGGCAATAGACTGCGTGAAAAAGTTGCAAGGTTATTTTCAGCAAGAAGAAGACAGTACAGCCACACTTGCCAAATTGAATAAAATTCTACTTGATGTTCTAAATAATTATACAAAAAAAAAACAATCTGTCCAAATGAAAATTACTAGCTTTTTTACCAAATAATTTACGGTTTTTACACATACCTACACAGTACGTATGCCTGTAATATGTGTATCAGATTCTGAAAAAATGCAAATTTCAAAATTACATGTCTCTTTATTTATGTAATACATGTTAAACAAACACATTTTAAGCTTTTAATATGTTATTTCTGCTGCTTTTTTCATTAAAAAAAGTGTTTCTTTTAACATGATCATCCGCCTATAATAGACTATTTGTCACAGTCCCGCCGAGTAGATTATAAGCGGGTTGCACTGTATTTGGAGCATATAAATATACCAGCATAAAAACATTGAGATAAACACTCTCCATTCGCTTACAACACCCACTCCCTAGTTTTCTTACCTCTTAAACTTTTTTCAAAAATGATCAGAATCCTCTAAAATATCAACAAAGTTTGAGCGATTTTTACTTTTTTCGTTTTAGACCTTTTTCTCTGCCGCCACTGGACCGATTCTCAAAAACTAAACTAAAGCTTTTGCATCCTTGCTATACTAGTAACACTGTGTAAAAATTTCATCGACATCTGAGCGGTACTTCTCAAGTTATAGGCAGTTATACGATTAGCGGACAGACCGTTTTTAGTAATATACATGTCATATAACATCCAAAACATAATACCTCAGTTTCGAAAATTTTCGCGATTACAATACCTCCTCGTCAATAGGCGTGGGAAGTAGTCTGTCAGTATTGATTATTGACAAGGCACAATTAGAATAGTCCAGTGTCAGTCAACAGTGACCGACAAAGCAGTCAATGTGTTAAATTGCTAAACCTTGTCAAGCTTTTTTTATAAGAATTCGGTTGTTGATACAAAAACAAGTTCAGGTCTTTAGTAGTAGTACATTCTGACTTGAATCATGAAGCATAGATATTAAAAAGCATACCAAATTTTCTACTAGATGTCCTTTGCATCATCACAGTAACATGAAAAAACTGAAAATGCATGCGATTCATAACACTATGTTGGAAAACCAGATAAAGTTTTAGTATTTTGATAAGAATATTTACGTTTTTGCTGCGTTGTTTTAAATAAGAACAAAGAAATAAAAAATATATACTGATAAGAAAACTAGAAACTTTGGGACTGCATAGTTAGTGGTATCACACTGATAACAAAATTACTATAGGATGTTATAAATGGAGCATAATTTCTAGAAATAAAGTGCTTGCAAAAAATGACTCAATTTTTCCAGATAAATGACTTTTCACTTCAACAGAAAATTCATTACTAATTGCATTTTGAAGAGTTTGGATGCATAGAAACCCTTCTAAAGGATAAAATGATGAATAAAATGTTAGATGAGATTTTAAATGAATACCTAAGTATAAGAATACTTACTCTGTATATAGTTCTCCTAAAATAGCAAATACAATCACACAGAACACAACAGTTGTGAGCTGGTGTCCAGCACCAATCAAAGCTGAAAATATTAAAGAGTGTGATGCAGGCCTGAAAACATCTCCATGCACTTGTTTCCATCCATACTCATCACCTAAATCTCTTTCCTGAAAAAAAAAAACGTGTATCACCAGCCTGCTTCCATAAATCAGTTCCAATTGCTTAAAAGCAAATGTCATAGCATTTGAGAAACCTACTTGTTGAACAATACAAATTACTGCAAAAATGGGTAAAACTTGATTACATTTTTAAAAGAAAAAATGTCATGTAGGTTGATTCTGTACATCCCATGCAGTATGCCATCAACTAGATTATATTAATTTATTTCCAAATCTAACGCCATATGAGCTATGGTTAAACATGTGAGATAAAGAGTCCACTTAATTAACACTTATTTTTAGCAGACTGAATAACATTCTCATGATTACATTAATGTAGAGTAACCTAACTTACAAATAAGTTACTATGCACAGTTTTGACAAAAATAAAATAATTGGTAAGGTTTATTCAAGAGACTGTAATTGACTGTAATGAAATCGAAACCTGACTAGGTATATTCACTTAACTATGATATATCATAAATCTGTACAGTAATTCATCTCAACTATAAAAAATAAACCAATCACTTTTATGTTTCAATGGAAAATTTATGGACAATAAGTATTAATATTATACCTAACAGGTATGTAATATTACTGCGATCAGAAATGATAGCACTCTGACTGATAGATAGATGCAACATTTATAAAATTTTGTTCTAGGCATCTCAGAAAGTAGATCAGCTTCAGTGAGTCTCTGTTGATTCTATTGTATGACGCAAAAGCTACGTTTTACATTTCTGGGATCAGATACTTCTCATAATATATCTCAGAGATGGCTCAAATATCTCAGATAAACAGAATGTGCACTTCGTTTAATAAATTTTGCATGGGCTGTGACATTCATTGTGATGCTCTTGATGTAATTCTGGCCAATCTTCAACATAATTATACTGAGGTGGGAAGTTGACTTTTACTTATACTTTTATACCACACATATGCTTGATGTCTTTATGATATCACTTTTAATTGTATTGTTCCTGTGATTGGGTATATCCCATTAGAATAAAGATTAATATTATTATTATTATTATAATAGGATGTATTTCACTGGTACCAAAAATGGAACATTAACAACCCTCCACCCCCTACAATCCCAACTCCCAATATTTAACCCCTTCAGAAAATTTTTCAAATGTGATCAGGAACCTCTAAAACGCCAAACAATGCAGTTTGTGCGTTTTTTTCCATTGGACCAATTTTCAAAAAATATAAAGCTTTTCTGTCCTTGGCATAAAAGTATCCTCATGTACAAATTTCAACAAAATCCTAGCAGTACTTCCTAAGTAATAGATCTGCTACATATTAGCTGACAGACAGACAGAAATGGTTTTTCTTGATGTACACCTATCATACCCCATCCAAAAAACAAAATATCTCACTTTTCAAGTTTTTAGCCATTGCAATGCTTCCTCGCCAGTCGCGTGGGGAGTAAAGTGTCGGAACATTCTTTATGTATTACTTCTTTCTAAGTCTTAGTGTACTTTCTGATTATTCAAAATATACCTATTACTTCTAAACAAAAATGAAATCGCCATGATGATTTTAAATTCTACATAATACAAGAAGATTTCACTTAATAGATGATTACACAACATAGTTGAATAAAATGTCAATGTAGATATTAACAGTAGATAAGGAATCTTATAAAATATTATGCAAACATCCTATAATTGTTTTAGTAAATAAAGTAAGCTACTATCCTTATTTGAGGTAGTTATTATATAAAAATAATCAATTAGTAAATGAAATGCATTCTTTGATTAGTATCATGGTAGTAAATAATTTCACAATTACTAATAACGTTACTCACCATATCATCTATATCTTCATCTTTACTATATCTAGCATAATCCTTTCTTAGAGTCCTCATGAGAATCATTGAGACAAGTCCAACCAAAAATATAACCATCATGAAGCTGTTGAAGATACTGAACCAATGGATCTACAAGAAAAACGTAATGAACTTGAATCATTTTTAAATTTTTTATTCATGCATTACCCTGTGTTGGAAGAAATTGTGATCCAAATACTTATCAAATCTATCTTCAAACTTAGTATCAGTCTTCTTCCAGATTACTTCATATGTAAAGCCCAGTCTAGCTGTAGGTTCTAACAAAACCTTATCCTCTGAAGTAAGATTGACGTCAATGATTTGTTTGCCATTGTAGCCAATCTCAAACTTCTTGTGGGTCCAGATGTAATAATTGTTGTCTCTAACTTCTCCTACCACGCCCCAAATTGGTAGGTCATCAATGTACATTTGATACCAGTAATGGTTTTTCACAGCATATACAAATGCTTTGTATTTTTTTTCTTCTAATACCACTGCACAGTATTCAGTTTTCTTGACATCAACTGTATCAGAAAAACAAACATTTGGATATCTTCAAAATGGATAGTACAGGGAAACATGGATAATGGGACCTAGATTGTTACAATTACATGAGGTTTTGACCCTGGTTCCAACACTTGTATTTGAGGATCTCATTTACTGGGCATTTTAAATATTAATCCATAATACTTGGTTTTTTTAAGTTAACCTCCGTAATTAGTACTTAAGACTGTATAAGTGAGATAATTTATCATGTTTAGACATTGGTTTACAGACATACAAATGTTGTACTATTCGTCATTTGTTTGTTGTATGATGCATTTGAAAAAACTCGGCAATTGATCAAATATCCTAGGTAGTTTGGGATCACAGTTATACAGACTTCACTATAGATGGTAACAGTTGAATGTTTATGGTATTTAGCTTAGAAATGCATATTTTATAGAATGGATTATGAAGTTGTCTTTCCCTAAAATGCTGCCATAGCAAAATAGGTGGCAAGTACATATAAAATTAAAGTGATGAAACTGTATTAGTATTGGTGGTGAAATGGGGTATGGGACTCACGATTTTGGTCATACCACCCCCTTGTTGATAGTAGATTAGCTGAATTATTGTTCTTACTTTTGAACCACTTAATATCTAATAGTGATCTAACTGCTTGGATGGACAGTTTTCCAATTCGTTCAAATTTATCAATAAATTTTTGAAAGATTATTATGAATGCAAACAAGGAAGTTAAGTAAGGTCAACAACATGTCACAAGATAATTATATACAATGAAGACATAAACAAAATTCAGAAACAGTATGAAAAGTACTAGTAACATATTAAGCTATGTCCACTTGTCTAGAAAAAACAAGTGTTAATGATTCAAGTAATCAAATCTGTCACAATTCTAATATGTGATATATGTGAAGATGAAACAACTTTTTCCTCATAGATTCATGAAGGTGAAAGGAAGCAAAGAAAAGGGAGAGAAACTCTTCTGCTTGGGTTCTATTGCACAATCAAATAACAGGATGTGTCCTTGACATGAATGTCAACAATGTGGGCGCAATACTTGAAAAATGTAAAATCAGAATTAAAATGCTAATTTTATAGAGCAAAAAATACATATCTTGACAACTACTAGAAATCTCCTGGAAACTCAGTTTTAAATAAGTACAGTTTTTTTTAATACAAAGCTAACCATACAAGTATAAGTTTGTAATCTGTAGTTCTTTTTATAAAATACAAATTATATGCATAAATATTGATATCATTTTCCGCTTTAAAAGTTACGTAAAAGTATTTCCTGGAAGAGATAAATAACCTGATAACAATGATAAAATCTACTTACCTTTGAATTCAATTTCAATGCCACTAAACTCCAATTCAACTCCCTGAAGAGCATCACTGAGGGTTTCATGGTAGTGGCTGATAGTTTCTTTTGAGCCGGTACAGAATGGTAGTGAAAAATAGTTGTAGGTCTCTTGCCTATTATGATATGGTCCTACAGTGTTCATCCATAGCACTACTTCTTCATTGTCTTCATACTATACAAGAAACGTATAGTTGTTGTTAATACCTCGTGACATTTATTCCGGAAGCAATAGTAATAGTTAAAAATCGATAAGTTATTTAAAATAAAATGTAAATACTCGGTACTCACTATGTGGTTGTGTTCGTCAGTATACGCCCCAATAATGAAAGAGAAAAATAATATTGTGTGTGTTATGTGCATTTTCAATAAGAGCTGTTGTTATATTTTGATCTAGATCGATAATTATTATATTATCTTAACATTCATCCCCATAAATCACCTGAATGCACAAAATTTTATCATTTTCTAAATACACGTAGACAACAGAGCAGATGACATTTGAGTAAATGACAGGTGATAATCGGTCGACAGGGTGGCCAACGTGAAAATGAAGATATTAGGCAAAAAGGCGTCGTCAGAAATGACATTAGAAAAGAGGCGGAGCTAACAGTATCGCAGAATGGGCGCGGTTAACAGTGATTTGGGAAAAAAGCCGTAGTTAGTAGTCCGTTTTCCTTTTCATGTTCTGTGTTAGTCGAACAGGCGCGTTCATGGTGCATATTTTGAATGTAACCCTCTAATGCAAATAGCTGCGAAAATGTTTATTTTCATAATTTTTTAGTTATTATAGGTTTTGTTGGGGCTAATTTGGTAAAATATAATGAATCTTTTTTATTTCCACGCACATATATGAAATACCATAATGTCCCCCTATTAGGGGACCTTAGGTATGGGAGGTGAATGAAGGACGCAATAGGGTTACAATTTTACACGGATTACGAACATTATTTTCATGATTAATATTAAGATACGTTCAAAAAACAAAACTTTTTGCACTCGGTTTTAGATTTCTGATTCGGAGTTTATAATAAACATTTATTACATAATGTAAAATAATTATTCTATAATATTTTTGTTCCAAATTTTATTTAGGACTAATTGTTTATCTACAGAAACTCAATCATGTTTTGATAAAAACTACTACAGCAACGTTTATTGCTCTCCGTGCCCAGAGTTCCCTGGAAATAAGGGGCTGAAATATCACACTTGAAAAATAAGTATAATTACTCCCTATACCCTATTCGTAGTCCATTTAGGCCTAGATAAAACATAACATACCCAAAGGCGAGACTGTATTTTCCTCAATGGTCTTGGAATAATCTAACAAATCAAATTATTATTTTTATAGAAAGAAAGTGCAAATACTTTTCACAATTCTTTATTCGTTAGAAATATTTGAATCATCGTCCGATGGTTAATATTAATTATTACAGGCCCAATTTGAATATCGATCATATGGTCCAGATCCCACATCTTTGTTTTGATTGTCTCTTGAACGTGACCGATGCAATCTTTCCAATGGTTTGCCGTCACACAGTTTTTTATCTTTGCCCAAATCATTTCAATGGGATTTAATTCGCAGTGATACATCCCAATAAGCCTTAAATCGGTCTTATTTTGGTTTTTAGCCATTTCGTCTATAATATTAAGATTATATTATTTATATTTGTGCTGCCTGACTAGATGGATACGTTCGGATTTGACCATATTTTCATTGAAACTAATGTCTTTTGATAGGAGCCATTGTTGAATTTCTGCCTTTCTTGTGGACATTGTGGGAATTTTTTCTAGTTTTCTAATGTCGAATGCGGCATTATCAAGTACAATGACGGCATTGGCGTCAAGCTTTGGGAGAGTTCCTTCAAACAATCGTTCAAATAAACTGTCGTCCATTTCTTCATGGTAGTCGGTCGTTTTCTTCGACTCAAATACCCATAGGGCACTGGGCACAAAGCTATCTTACTAGTACTACAATTACAATAATACAAGCAGATTATCTGACAGGTGTTGGTTCCAAATCTACGAGATATAGCTAAGTTTAGTGAAGCTAAGTTTTCAGCGTGGCCTCATAGATTCAATCTACTTGACTCCATTTTTACAACACAAATGACGAATTGTTTAGATACACGTACCTGACGGATTCATTAGGTCAGTAGTTAGTCCATCTAAGTAGGCTTGTCTTGCTAATTTAATTGTAGAGTCAGTCCATACTTTAGGTTTTGTATGTCCTGGTTTCATCCAAGTAATAAATATTCCTGCCCTGGTCGCGGTATTTTTTTATTATTTATTGATTTTAAATATTTTTTCTCCATAAAATAATCTCTTGGCCGTGCATAAAAATACTATTTCTGTCCCGTTCTCTATACTCAAAATGAAGTTCTTTGAGTATAGAGCATGGCCGAAGGAAGCATTGGGAGAAATATTCTCAGTTTCATCTGCTGTATACGTTGACCACATGCTAACGTATAAACACACGCTGTATGCACCGAATATAAACACCAACTGCCGGCGTCGGCGTGCCGGCGATGTTCCGAGCCCGAGTTCTATCCTGTCGAATCCTGCACTTCGTAGTTTTAATAGCTATTGCAACGCTTAGGCGGCTGCCGCTTTGCCGCGCTGCGTCTTTGTTGTGCCGGGGCGTAAATGGGTATAGAACATTTAAAAGTTTGATGATATTAATAAAGATATGTTCAAAAAGTATAGTTATTAAAAATATAAGCCACAGTTTCAAATGCGATCAGCTGCAAACCACGTTACTCATGTTTCTACCAGTCAGGCAGGCGTATCAATTTTTCTCTGCAAATCGATATGTTTCTTTTCATATCAGCGATGAGAACGATCGACATCAACTTATGGTGGAATGTTTGAAAAAGTACTGAACATTGGTCGATTGGTCCTTTCTAGGAAAACTTTTGGGAATTGGAGGGTAAGATATGTTCTAAGGGGCTTCACTACGGCGATATCGGCCCCCAAGGACGTTACTGGAAATCAGCTTTTCTGAAATGGTGATGTTCATGGGAAATAATTAAACCATTAATATCCCCTAACTTCAGCGCAATATTGTTAAAAAAATGTACACCCTGTATCATACACCTTATGGTCTAACAACAACATTTCTGTAAAAACCCTCAACTTTAAGTTGAAAAAAGTACACTCTTGTCCGATACCGATAAAAAATGTTAGTATACAGAGAAATACAAATATTTGTAACGTCGTAATGTGTAATACGAGTGGACCGTAGTCTCGTTACTGGTTTGCTAGAAAACATAGTGCGTCTATCTCTTTCTAACATACGTATTGCATGCTTCTCTCTCGTATACATTACGACGTCAGTAGTATAAAGATTTCTCTGTATACTGAATACGCCATTTTTAAAACCGTAATTCTGAGATTCGTAAATAGCGAGCCGAAAAACTCCAGGATATACATTTTCAGATAACAATCATGTTTTATCTAAATTTGAATTTTTTTGGCACAGTGTGTAAAAATCGAAACGTTAGGTAGTCTTTCCAAAAATATATTAGTTTGGGCTATTATTAAATAGGGTGTAAGAAGTGGAATATATTCTGTTAGCGCTAGTCCGTCCCTAAACGTTCTGAATGAGAATTGCTTATCAAGGACACCATCAAGTAAAGCTCCAACTGGTTACTAGACGGTCAAAATTTCCAGTAACGTTCTGGTCAGATGTCTGTATCTCTTTTGGAAAGCCCCGTAGAACATTTTTTATAAGAAATGCTGAGGCTTTATTTTTTGAGTTCTATTTGTATTCGAGAGATATATCTAAAGTACCAGGTTACCCGATATAATTGTTTTTATATTTTTTGCATGATTAAGCACTTAGGGCCCTATCGTCAGTCGCTCATGCAATTGTAGGACGTCATATATGGCCTTCTTGATGTTCATAGTCTTTTCTCTCTTTCAGAAAGGCTTGGGTATTTATAGATTTCTACTGTTCCGTTAAGGTGGCACGTCCTTTGTTTGTTTTTTTTTTCAACTACCTGTTTGCAGCAGTATTTTAAATCCTTTTCATCTGATAATTTCGTGGCGTCTATAAAGATGACTAAAAACAATGTTTTCATTTTTTTTGCCAAAAAATGCAATTTTGATCATTTTATTGTGCATTTTTTCTTCAATCGGAACTTCTTAACAAACAAAATTGTGTGTGAATATTCCTCTTTTACGGAAGAATGAACTAAGTGATTAATTTTGGTCTTATCACTTTACCATTTCGAAAAATCTTTGATTTTCTTTAAGCTTCGTCTCGCAGGAAGTTGAGTCGAAGAAAAAATCCACAATAAAATGCACAAAAATGTATTTTATGACAGAACAAAATTAAAAACGATGTTTTTTCAGTCATTTTTTTTATATATATATCGAAGCAGCCACGCAGGCAGAAGCCTAAATGCCGGAACACCGCGGCTGCTATGATGATCCCAAAGAAATTTTATTAATACGATTTTTGAACTACCTAAGGTTAATAGAACTGGGAAAAGCTTCTTCTTGTAGATTGTTCCACAATCTCGACACCCTCGGGACAAAGGAGTGGTCGTATCGGCCGGTACTGGATGTGCGAAGTTCGACACGGTTAGGACACATCGCGCGACGGAATCATGGAACAGAGCTCGGAGGAGCAAAGCCCGTTGGTGAGAGTCATCGATCAGTCGGACCGCCCTCCTCTGGACAGCATCGAGCATGGATGATGTAGTCGGGGCGGCAGCACCCCAAACGTGCGAGCAATACTCGAGGCTAGGCCTTATCTGGGCCTTGTATAGAGTGAGAAGGTCATGCGGAGAAAAGTACTTCTTAGCCCTAAACAATAGCCTAGCTTTTCCCAGCAGCTGCAGCTATTGACGAGATGTGTTCGTGCCAGATCAGGTCCTCGGTGATCTGGACTCCGACCAGCCGAAATGAATGGCTCTTTGGCAGAACTCGACCAACCATCGAAACCGGGTGAGCGCAGGGACGCTTTTTGTTCGTCAAAGTACAGTACTGCGTTTTAGAAGCATTGAACTGTACAAGATTGTTGCGTCCCCAAGCAGTGATAGCCTCCAGGTCTCTTGTCAGAGAGGAAGTCATCGCTAGTCTACTTTTTTCCAACTCAGCGACACTGATCGGCTTGTCACTCTGAATTTTGGAGTTGAGGCGAAGCCACATAATATCCTTCCGGTCTGATTCCAAAGAAACATCTCTGGAGCAGGAAAGACTGCTGCGGACAAAAGCCACAGCTCCCCCGTTCTTTCTCAGATTGGAGTGCACCTCGTAGTTTGGGAAGTTAAGATGGTTAATCGGTGCAGACTCTGAGATTTTTGTCTCCGCCAAGAAAAGCACGGCGGGACGATTGGATTGCAGGTAGTGATGAACAGCATCAATGTTGCTGTTAATCCCGCAGATGTTCGAAAAACAAATTTTATCTTCGATGTTGTTCCCTCGAGCCCACCTTCCACCCGGACATTCTGTCATCTCTATATACATCATGAAGTAATCAATGAGAAGGATTTAGAATACTGTCGCAAACAGGTAGTTGAAAAAAGAGAAAAAAAGAGACGTACGGCCTTAAACAGCGCTTTTGAGAGCAGATGCTTTTGTGCACATCTCAGGATTCAGGTCTAGCATGGTAATTTTCATAAAAACTATCTAGGGGGGCGCGCAGTGCGGTGGTTGCACTATGTGAAGATGTTCGTCTAGGGGGAGATAGGATGGGTGAAGTGGGAGCTATGGGTTTGGCGGCTGTGTGCTCTGCACCTATGAGAGCAAATGCCCTTGTCACAAAATTGAGGAGGGCGCGCAAGTCTGACGATTCCGCCACTGTAAAATAAAAAACAACAAAAGTCGTATAATATAATACATATATATTTATTGGTTTCTGACTGCACTGCCTTTTTTGGCTTTACACAACATGGCACACCATACAACTATGTATCTGTAAAATCATATACTTTGTTATTGATTCGTAATTTTTACACAATAGATATATCATCTGGAAGGTGAAACCTGTCACTCTTCTTTACAAAGGCACTTCAGAAATCATTGTCTGTTCATAAATATACTCAATCTGGCATTGTTATAAATCAAATATGGTATAATCAACAATCAGTGCAATCCAGGACACAGTGTTACACAACTTTTACATAATTTCTTAAAAAACGTAGTCTACTTAGTCCAGGAACATAAATTCCATCGACCACATATCGTTATTATCGCAATTTATAACAAAAAACTCAGAATGAGGCATACTAAATTTATGCAATTGCATCAGGACCTTTTTTGGACATGGAGGGAAGTGTCTACATTCCACATTACTGTATCACAGCCAAGAATTCACATGAAAAATATAAACAACATTAAAAAGCAGTTTTATACACTTTGTCACACCATCAATGCGGCCTAGAAATACCATTGATAATTTTTGCGTTGTGTCACTATAGCCCATATTTATAGTTGACCCTTATTGAGTTTCAAATGAACAATAACACATCCTTGAGTAACGCTCAAATGGGGATATAACATTTGAAGTTTATAACCATCATTGGTTTTCAAAATTTTCAATTTACTCAATTTATATTTATTTTTATAAATTTTAAAATTTTCCGAAATTCCAAATAAATTTTTAGTTCTAATAATTCTTGCGTCTTTCTGAATGTACAAGATTTTCAAAAATCTAAGTATCTTCAGGATCCTCAAAAGAGGTTCTAAGATGTTCAGTATAAGTAAGTTTTGAAATTTTGTGAGCTTTTAAATTTCATCGAAAATTTTCGAATTTTAAAGATTCTAATATTTTTTGAATTTTTGAATTTCCTAAAAATTTTGTAAACTAATAATTGTGCATAATTAGATTGTTAAATCGGGGTTGATCAACTCTCGATCAGCGCTCAGCCCTCAACGATCGACTGTAAATATGGGCTTATTCGATATTACAATCTTTTGATATAGCTTGGTCAAATTCTTTTGTCGAACTGCAAAAATGGAGCGTTCTCCCTATCTTAGAAAAAACTGAGGCATATGAGTTCTTACCGCACATTGTGTGGCTGCCACCTGTGCCCGTTTTTCCTAATATGTGAAAAATTTATTCCAAAATTCTCACGACTGTGTCCCTATACATCAAAAAGCTTAAGATTTTACTTCCACTTAGACGTCAAGATAGTGTGACAAGGTATACGTTTCCTTATAAGACAACTATTTTCTGTATTCTATTAAGAATTCATATAAGTAACAATTTTTTAAATCTAGACTTTAAGAACTCTTACGTCCATTGATATCGATTACATTGTAATAAGGGAATGTTAAAGCATTACATCATTACCTTGACATATTATATTTCGTCTTTTTCCATACTTGTCCGAGATTTTACAAAATTTGTACTTTTTCCTGTGATTCTATGACATTTCGCAATCAATTTAAGCAGACAAGCTATGTTCTAAATTGTAGTATAACTTAAATTGTCACCTTATGAGCACAAATGAGAACAACTAGATTTTTCTAGATTAGCTTATTCTTTGAAATCCTGGAACATCATTTCAAATGAAATAAACTGCTTCGGCATTTTGTGTTGTGCGAAGTTTAGATGCTAAAAATGTTGCTTTTTGTGCTCATACTGTTTAAGTGAACTACTTTTTAGCACATATGGAATAAAACAGGCCAATCGTAAGTAGATAGTTCTTGTTCAGTTTGTGCACATATGTATTATAGGGAAAAGAAAATTGATAAGTAGAAATAATAAAATACAGATCTTTGAACAATAAAAGCAGTCCTATATCACACGACTCTCTTTGAGATCGAACATTTATCAGCAGTGCGCTGTTACGATACCTCAATCATTGAGAAAATTTCAGTTTATACCTAACACATGGGACGCTTTGGAGATCATGCCAAAGGATCAAAGTATTCGTTTGATAATTTTTAATGGCAGATTTGCTGATGCGAATTGCAAAACAATAGAGGATAAAGTGCTTTCTCGATATGACACAGACTTTTATTCAGAATTTCGGGATAACGGGCCATCAAAAAATATCGAAAGGAAAAATGTTGCCCCTAAAAAGCGATAATTCGCTTTTTCGTGCTTTTTAAGGAAATTTGCACAGTTTTGTATCTTCAAGTTGTAGAGTGAAAATAATACAACTTTTATGAATCTTTTTAGACCTCTTGAATTGATTGGCTTTGGAAAATAGTGCAAAAAACGTTGTTTACCCCTTGAAGAGCGTGAGCATAGCATAAGCGTGCTTTTTCGACGAAAGTATGTAAATATTGTCCTTGCTGTTTTGTATTTTCTGTATCTTCGCAGCGACGTCATTGACAAAATAATATTGAAGATTGATAAAATAATCAAGTATTAGAAAAATTGCCAGACTTATTTTCTTGTTTTTAAAAAGAAAAGCCTGAAACGATGGGAAAGGAATATTGTGTTGAACGGTAGGCATTATGTGTAGGTGAGTAAGATGCCGTAAGGATATTGGAAGAAAGGGTCCGACACATTTTGCACAAAAAAGGGGATCAGAATCTACTGCATAATCAAAGGCGGACCTATGAATCTGTCTAGGGGGGGTGGCGCAGTGTGATTGTCGCAACATGTTTAGGAAGATGTTCGACTCAAGGGAGGAGGTATGTGGCGTCGGCATGCTTAGCAATTAACCAGTGCCTCTCTTTCTTAAAAAAATGGCGGACTTAGACGTCTGCTACCCCCCCTCCCGCACAACTGAACATTGCAGTTTTTCATTGTCAGGCCGAGAACTTTTCACTCTACTTTCGTCATCATCCATCTCTTAAGTAGAGTTGTCTGAAAATATTCATCTTCACAATGATTGGGGTATGAATAGAGCCACATTTCCTAAATACGTATAACAAAACCATCACTAAATACATGTGTTCATGTTAATATAATATTACATATATCACTCATTATAATACTCCCAGTTCTCAATAGCACAGTTACGTATCATTTGCATCTCGCCCTATACCTGCTGTATTGTCATGAAACATAAACTTATATTTACCATCATAGCTCTGGTTAGGCACAATGGAAGAACTGCCAAACATAGTAAGCGTGTCATTTAGATGAGAGACCGCAGGATTAGTTGATGAGCTACAAAAATATAAATTTCAGAACGACATCTATATGCAACGAGAGATACAGACCGAAAGAATTCGGGCGAGAAATATAATGTGCATGGAACATATCTTTTTATTAGATCACTCTAAATTAAGGGCTGAGAAGGAAGACAATCACTACATTTTTGGCACACTAACACTCCTCCATTTCTTTAATCTTATACACTGACTTTTCAATTGCAAATTAAATTTTTCAGAGGATCGCTTCAAAAGTCATTGTTTATTTTTGATCTTACTTTTATTTTTTTGCCGTCAAAAAAGAAATAAGATCACGAACTTTAATAAGAGAAAGCGATGTCTGTAGTCTTACTATCGAACGGATCGACACACACACGTAGAAATTTTACAATGTTGCACATAACCTCCTAGGCCTTTTCCACAACCCCAAGGAAAAATAATGGTAGTCTTTTTCACGAGTATCCGTTACGTCAAACGTGATAGCAAATAACAGTTATAACAGTTGATTATCTAGTAACATTTCAAAATACACCATATTGACAAGTGACACAGTTCTGACGGATACGTCCACGTTAGATCAGTATTTGTTGTGGCCTTTTGTAAGCTACGGATTTATACTTCCTAGCAACGCTTTTATTTCGAAAAGTATTTTCGCACATAAGAAAAAACGCTGCCAGCAAAGTGACTGCTAATGATCTTGACTATTTCAAGTCACGTAGGAATAATACAAGATAAACGGTTTTTGACTATGTTTGGTATAAACAATTCTGAACGCGGTGCTGAAATGTACTCGATTCACAACCGGTTGATTATGTCAGGCTTTAATATAAAGATGTTTTCTTGCTGATCAGTTGTTCACCTCAGTAGCCGTTAAAATGTAATAAATACTCGTGTGAGAGACCATATGACATTAGTCCAAATGAGTTGAGTAGTTCTTCCAGTATACATTCTAACCCTGCCTCTATCCTATTGTCCGCCATCCGCATTGCACTACGAGTTTTGAGTACAGCACAGTAACAATTAAAGTACTTCGAACAACTTCTTTAAATTATATACAAGTACGTCAACAGTTTAACTCCTTACCTTACACAGTACATTCATTGGTTTATAACTATATAACTTTGATATATAGTTTAGTATGTAGTTTTATAGTCAGAAGTAGGAAAATATTATGCGTTTTCTACAAAAAGCATATTTTTGTACTGCAAAGGGTAGTAATTGTTCGAAGTTCTCAACAACGAGTTATAATATCAATTTTTAATAAGCAACAGTAATTAACATTTCAGCTGGCAGATCACCGGGTATACGAAATGTTTCAATGGGATCATGTTGGGCCACAAAATTTGTAGTTTGCTGACAGTACCTATGCTGCAATATTTGTAGTTCAGTGGCAGTTAATTCTAGTACTTAATACAATATGTGTTGTGCGTAAATCATTAAGGTCCGGTTTTTCAATTGGTGATTGTCATTTTACTACTAATTGGGAGTTAACTTTGAAAATGCATTTTATGTTGTAAAGTTTATCCATGTTAGTTCAGAAGCAAAATCAGCATTAGGGCATCAGCAATAGGGAATTTGCATGTAGTTCAAATATTCGTATATTTTTTTATTTATAGTCTATATTGCTACAGAATGACACCTTCGACCTTATTTTAAACCTACACGCTATAAAATTACGAGCCACAATTAATAAAAAACGGAGAAAATATGAGGTATATTTGAAATATCGAAACGCAATGCTATTGCGATTCAAAGTTCCAGGCCTTTCACTGCCATTGACTGTCAACGTACATATCGGAAATAAATGAACCAGGGCATACCCCAAAAACTGAAAGAATGTTCGACCTAATGTTATAAAAATATCTTCTTTAAATAGGAAGTGAAAAAAGAAAACATAATCTTTGTAATCTAAGGTAAGTAACAACCAATCATATTTGGGCAAAATAGTACGAGTAGTTCTGTATTTACGTCAAAATGATCTTCAGTTTTCAACATTTTACACCACTTTTCCCTTATCTTAGCATCTCGAGGAATATGAAACTTATAGATACTTTGTTCGGTGTTTCCCGCGACATAGGTAGGTACAATACAGTACTTAACGTATAATGTTTCCATACCTACTTGATCTATGCTTTTGCTTTTTCTTAATTAAAACTACAGGACACGAAATAGGACCTTTGGAAACTCGACAGCAATCTGACCATAAAGACAATCGAATGACATATCGAGGATTATGACGTCATTGCGAAGCGCGTCAAAAAAAAGAGGCGTATAAATCATCATTGGCCTTGCAGTTTTGAATGTTTAATAAACAATGAACACAGATATTTGCTTGAATGAAATATGTGTATAAGGCATTAAATTTACATAAGTAATATACAGAAAATAAAAAAAAACATGCATATTCCCTGTTACTGACTAGTTAAGTAGAACTAATGGACAACTGATAGTTAGCTTCCAAGTTATAGTTACCAGGGGTTAGGGTTAACCGGAGTTTGATAGACCGTGTCATAATGGCACACCTAAGTATTATTTTCCATATAAGTGCCTCAAACTATTTTCATTTGTCTAGATTTTTGAGATTTCACTGAAGCCCACCATAATGGATCGAGACGAAGCGCATTCCCGTATACCAGCCAACCACATCTTAACTCTTAAATCGACCTTTTTACACAATTACATAATATCTACACATGCTGGACGAGCTTGGAGGGAAAAGGACTGTGGACAAGGGAGGGAGAGACACAGAAACGTATCACTACTCAGGAGGGGTGTGTCCAGAAGGGCGGTGCCTTCTGATCTGAAGCTCGGCCTCCTCGCACATCTCATCAGGGGCGGACCATCGTCGTTTCCGCGCTGCTGCCGCTGCGGCTGCGCTGTCAGGAGACATGGGCGGAGCTATCGTGGGAGCATGGCTCGAGAAGTGCAAGTTGATTGGTTGAGATTGCGCTGAGACCGCCGGAGAGTGTTGAGATTGGTGCTGTTGGTGGTTGCTCACCTAAAATCAAAATTAATAATCAAGTTTAGTTCTAATATGCTAAGCGCACTTACGCATACATAATTATTGTTATTTGATAAGATGCTCTATGGTTTTTTTTCGGATTTTTCAGTGCAGTTAAATGAGAGAAAAATCGCCCCAAAGTTTGAATTAATGACGTAAGCGGGTAAGCACCGATCGAACTTCTCGTCGGTGAGCGCTGCAGCAGGCTGGTTGCCTTATAGACAATAAACGATGTTAAACTTGAGAATATTGAATATTGCAAGGAGTCCAATCAGTATGAAAACCACACGGTAAGTTTCAACTGTTACATTAATCAAATACTATTCTCTAATCACAACTCACGGTATCTTAACGTTTTAAGGCACATTCTACACAGTTATTGAAATGTTTTAGAAACTTTTAAGAATAACCCATTTCGAGAAACAACAAGTACACGGTTTGTGATATTAAGTAGGACTCGAAGAGGTGCAGCAACAAAAGAAAGTTAATTATCCATCAAACTATTTCCAGTTGTCTGCAACGTTCAAACATTTCTTGCTGAAATTTACATTTGAATGGGTGAGTAAATCGATCAACGTATTTAGCATCCTGGTCTAAGAAAACAACAACGTGGAGTGTAACAACAGCGTGTCCGACCTGTGCCCTGTTACCATCCTTTTTTATACTTGAACCCTAAGGCCTAAACACACCAATGGGTACCGTGGGGCTATAGGGGGATACATGGGAAAGAGGGGCGCCACACGGACTCTAGCTAGGAAACATGTGTGCATGCATCATGCAGACATTGTGGCTCCGCCTTAGAGATCCGCCGGGTGGTATATCCGCGTTCGATGGTCAGGGACCGTCTACTACCTACTGACAATCACAACGTCCATAGTCAAGAGAAAAATTTCCTGATTCGCTTGTGTCTCAGATATTGCCAAATTTAAGTAAAAGTAAAATTTTCATTCGCCGATTTTACCAAAACAGGATGTATTAGATAACCTATAACAATCATACTTACTTGAGTGGAAGATTTGAGTAGTAAGCTCGAAGTAGCCAATAAGTGCGGCGTATGGTGGCTGTTAGAGGTATTAGAGTTGACAGATGACAGCTGCTGTCTTGCGGTGACAGCTGTAGCCGTAGCTGTGGTCATCACTGTAGATGCGGCTGCAGCAACCGACCTCCCGTTTCCGCATAACGACTGGGCCGTACTGGACGACGCAGGGCTGCAGGAGGAGGTGTACGACATCGCAGCAGACTGAGGTGTGGGAGGCTCACGTGGTGTTAAGGAGATCAACACGTCGCCTACCTACATCATATTAAAGAATTTTAGTAAGCTTGTTTTGCTGCTTCGTTACGACCTTCCTTATTTACAGATATAACTATTACCGTAAACAATGAGAAACTCCAAATTGATAGACCACCAAACATAACATGTCTTGGATTATTCCTATACTCTCACTAACGTTATTTCTTATATTTTGAAAAAAGTTCGAATTGTGTCATATAAAATTAAATATCCCACAAGCATTTTCACAGAAAAGTACCTTCGTACAATATACATGCATTGATTGAACCACAACTACCTTATGGTATATTAGCATAGGGTGCTGCATACATATAATTTAGATATTCTTCGAAAAACTATTTTAAAGACAATATTCAATAAACCTAGACTTTATCCTTCTAATGAACTGTATTCAGACGTATATGAGCAACTTTATTTTAAACTTTACTTCAAAAAATTAGTCATAATCATTTTACATTTATTCACTTACATTATTTTATTTATAGTTTGGGTAAATAAATATTATTATTATTTCGATTTTGCGCTATCGAAATAAGAAAGCTCCGATAGCTGCGGAGAAAGGGTTTATTCCGTAACGCTATTTTTGCTTTGATTCAACGCTATTGTCGGAATTCGTGAAGCTAAGTAAGCTTAATTAATAATTAATTAATATTTTCCAATGATAACCACCCTCTAACAATTTCTTAGAAATATTTGCCTTTTCGTAACACCGATGCCACTGGATCAGATCTTGTGTCAATATTCCATCAAAATCAGGAACATAATTTCCGAGTTATAGAATTAGTGAGAAGCTAAGGAGTGACGTGTATGTCAGGGAACGTTTATAAATAATAATTTCTAGATTATTTCGCAATTACAGTTTTTCCTTGTCAAGTGACGTGGAAAATGAAAATAAGGCAATATTTCCCTAAAAAAATGTCGTACGGATCATTTATATGGTGATATATGCTCTAAAAGTACGTATTAGTATGTAATTCAACAAAATTCTGAGAATAAAGTAACCGATTGAGACTTTATATGATGGTGATCACGGAAAACAAATTTAGCTTGCCAGGAATGTTGTAGCAACAACTTAAGATCTAAAAAACGATATTTTTAAAGCTATAAAAATGTACTATTGCGTGTTTCCTATAAGATGAGCCATTTTTGAGCAAAGCAGTCTTGTTTGAATACCGTTGCTTTCGATTCACGTTTGAGCCAGTCGTCAAACAATTCCACAAAAAACTAAAAGTTTAGCTGAAAAGGAATCTGTTCACTTTCCGTCTCTGCGACCATAACTAACTGTATACAACGTTGCTTCAGGATTTTCAGCAATCATCAGTATGGCACAGGTCTAGTCCTATGAGGTCAGATGACAAAGCAAACAAGCGAATGTAGGTCTACTAAGAAACTCAGTATTGTATTGTGCGAAAAAGATCAAGGGATCTGCGAATTTATATATTAGGATTGTTGATTAGGACGCTGTTATCAAAATTAATCTAATTTGAGATTGCGCAACCATCATACTACATAGATTCACTTCAATAATAAATAAATAAGTGTTATACCTGCAACTTGTGTACGTTCAGTCCATATCTGAGGTGTGTGGCAGCTGGGTCACATGATGCCCACCCTGCGCCCATCACAAAATACGGATGGGACGATGAAGATTCTACTTCCACCTATAACAAAAAATAATTATTAAAACTCATCGTCTTAATGCTCAATACTCATTCGGTGTCGAATGACACACAATGTAAATGGAAGTAAATTATGGATTAGAATAAAAGTGTACACTTTCACCATTTTTCTCAACATGAGCAAAATGAAACAAAGCGTGCATCCACCATTTTTCTATATGACCGGAGTAACACTTTCACCATTTTTTCAGCGAGTCGCGAGTGGGATCGACCTTGGATAATTTAGCATTTTTTTGTCGTATTTTATACTTTTCAGTCCGATTCTTCTGGATCATATTTAAGATTAATTTGGGTATGTTACAGATAAAAATATACGCGAATGATTCAAGTTAGCGGAAATACTAATAATACTCGTAAATAGTCACAGACTCAATTTACCATGTCTGTGCGTGGGACTGAAATACTTCTTCCAGGGCTCACTCTAGCCTCTTGACAAAATATAAACAAGAGATATCAGCTTGTCATCTAAATAAATCGTTATCGTTAATATTTATTACCTTTTTGGTAGACGCGGGAGTACCACCCTGCGGATCTCTAAGGCGGGGCCAGGATGTGTGCCTATAACCCAATGGTTCTCATGGGTGTTTATGCACTCCTTAGGCCGTCGTGATGGTTCAAGCATAAAAAACTCATCGTAGGCAGATGACAGGTACAATTATACTATTCAAAAAATCAATGTCGCTGAGGAAGGCTAAGAGGTTGAGCCAAAAAATATAAAAAGTATGCTTTTGAAAATGTCTTTAAAGATCGAAGATCACTTCCAATCCTTCTAACTCTTTGCATCACTCATCTAGCATGATGAGGTAGATACTATTAGAAAGTACCTACAGTAAAGTGAAGCTTAAATATATAAATTGTTTTATTAAAAGATTTCTTGTTTAAAAATAAATTAATTTAACACAATTATAACAAATTCACTGTTTATATTACATGGCATTAACATTATAATAATATTATACATCTCAAATTCAAAATAGTCGTTTATACTAGAGAAGATACTGTGCCAAATTTCGAAATTTTGTTTACATTTCCACAGGCGACGGGACGTAATTTTTCATCTGCATGACATGTTTACCCTTTGAAAAATATGCGACCGTACTTTCAAGTTTTGTAGTATTCTAAAAAATATCCGCTCATGTTGCCAAGTTCACTTATTCTGGTATTTCTGAATGGACATAAAAAATATTCAAACTTGGCTAGGCTCTCTCCGAGTATTTTCAGTGCTTACACTCATCACTCGTCAGAATTATATAGGGTGAAGTCAAGTAAAAAAATTAATAAGATTATTTTCTATAATACAAGTCGTCCAGAGACGATTTAGGATTTCCGAATTAAATTGAAAGCAGTTGTAAGCATTTTAGTTTTTACCATATTGAAAATGAGACACGAAATGTGCCCCATTTCTTGCAGTGTTGACGTAAATATGTTGAGATATCCCTTCAAGAAAAGTCTACAGGTGTCAAATCTGGTGATTGCGTCGGCCATGCAATATCACCAAAAGAAATAATCGGACCATTTCGGCAAATTCTTTTATACCTCAGCTTAGACATTTCGCGTGTAGTTCTCAGATGTGGGTTAACCACTTGTCAAAGTGCAAGGATCTCTGTGATCCAACTTTCTAAGTAGTTTCCACAAAGGCCAATGTCTCGCTTTGGTGATATTGCATGGTCTCAACGACCACAAGAAATTACCTTCGTTGTCATCTACTTTGGAAGTATTTAAGCAAACCAGTCACAAAATTGTCCTACTTTTTGAAATTAAAGTTCAAGTTGAAGTTCTGAAGACATAACGCTTTAAAAAATATAAACATATTCCCCCTCATTTCATCCAGTTAGGAAATTTCCTATAGTCGAAAATACTTCAGTTTCACTTGCATATAATAGTATAACTTGTATCTATCACAAATCTCAAATAATTATTCTGAAAAACTTACAATTTAAGGAAGTTATGACATTTTCTGTGATGGGACGACCAGTCGCAATATATTGTTTGTATCTTGGCATTGACTGCTTTTTTCATACTCCAACTACCACGAAGGCCTAAGGCCTAAACACCCGTTGGGTACCGTGGGGCTATAGGGGGCTACAGGAAATGCGATATTATAGATATATAATCATTCAAAGGTGGACATAAACATGGTTGAGGGTTAAATATAATATGCGAAACATTTATGCTTTGGCACTCCAATTTTACAGAAAAATCTATTTCTACGTTTTCAAGGTCGCTGATAAGAAATATGATTTCCATTGGTCAAAAATCAAATTGGCGGATTTAATATGCAAAATATTGCAAAAAATGTTTTGGTTGACCTAAAATTTTAGTTTTAGATGTTTTCAGGATCGCTAGAATTCGACATCGATTGTTCAAAAATTTAAATGACGGTTCTAAATAAAATACTTCTAATTTCCCTCAAAATTAAGTTTCAACTGTTTTTAAGATCGCTAATAACGAATCAAATATCGATTCTTAGAAAATCGAAATGGCAGATTCAGTATGACGGCTGTTTGCAAAATATTTTAGACTTTTTTAAAAACTCTACTCTGAGTTCACTATTTACGAAAATATCACTTATATATTGTTGTCATAGTCATAGTATCATGTTTGGATTGGCAAGTAATACAATGCCATATATGTAATAATAATTATACATACATTCGACTCCGCAATACATTTTGCCACATCTTACTACAGCTGATTATTTTAAAACGATTATACAAATTTTTTACACTTCTGGCCAGGCTTTTTGGTTCCTGAACCACGCCTAGGTATGCATCTCCACGTCGAGACAGGCGGGGTTCAAGGAGTATTACCCTCCCACTAATACACGATCACTAGGACAATATTCACATTTTTTCAAAATAAAGGCAATTATCAAATCAGTCACTGTTCTTGTTTAACTAATTAGGTTATATATCCATCATAATAGGCATATACACTGATGTTTATTTTGATCGTTTTACCCATATCAACTAAATACCTAGTATCATCAAACTGATATTTACAGTAGAACAATGATATTTCCGAAAGAGGCAATTTCAATGTCTCTGTATCATTTCCTTCTAATTATTCTATTTTTTGTATTTGTAAGTCGAAGCTCCGACGCATTGTTACCGAAAATAGTAAATGAGGAGCAGAGCAACTATTGTGAAAAAGGTGTAAGGCGCATTGCTTTGTGGTAGCGATGGTAGCTGGTGCCGTCTGACGTCATCACTCAGTCTCATGCTCCAACAATATATTATCCAAATAAGAAACTTCTGGGTACAGTAACTTTGTCATTTTTCAAGATATTCAAAAATGTTTTCCAGTGCTGTACTATATCTACTTTACTCAGACTATGATTTCAGGTGTGTTTCAAAAAATAGCAAACTTCCTCATTACCATTATTGAAAACACTAGGCAGTTTCTACGAAGGTTTCAAAAGAATTCAACCCTAGAACTATCCATTGGACTCGATGTTTGACCGGTTCGTAGGACTTATTAAGAAAAGGAGGTGAGGGCAAAAAAGAAAGGAAGGCGAAGGGGGAATAGAAAGAGTATCGAATCCATGCGTTTAAAGGTGCTTGTGGCCACCCTGTATAGACAGACAGAAGCCTACGCTACGTTCCCTGTAAGTCAAAAATAACTGAAAACAAAGGCGCAAACAACACATGTATGATCCGAAGGACTATTTTAAGGAAAACGTTAATCACCGCGTCTTACAGCTTCTATCAACGTGGGATACTTCCCTAGCTATTTTTTCATACTCTATGGAACCAGGTCTGGACTTACGCTTTAAATACTGGGATTGATCTAGTCTACAATAGGTTCTCTGACATTCAACAAAAAATGATCGACGGCTTCTATAATTTGATCAATATTTTATAGTTTAAACTTAGTTTAAACTTTGAAGAAGATATTTTCAAGAGGTTTTTATATAATTTCTTGTTGTCGACCAAAGGCCTCGGAAGGTCAATTTTTGGGAAGCAAATATGGTTATGCGACGCTTCTAATATTTTTTCGTGACATTCGAAATTATCATCTTAAACAACCGTGTTCCAATCACCTGTATGCACGGCATACATTTTGCAATATTAGGACCGTATCGTCAGTCGTTCCTACAATTTTATTGTAGGAGGCCTTTATGGCCTCCCTTCTTTTCTCTCCTTCAGAAAGGCTGGGGTATTTCTACTGTTCCGTGTCAGCGTTTCCTATTGTGAGGTTATGTTTTCTTTTTGAATCTTAAGAAATTTCAGGCTGATAAAATACATGATAAAAAGTAAGTTTCATCAGCCTGAAATTTCTTACAACTTAAAAAGAAAATATAACCTCAAAATAGATCGCTGACACGAAATAGTAGAAATCTAGAAATACTACAATTATTCTAGGACGCCTTTACGGCCTCCTTGATTGTCATAGTCTTTTCTCTCCTTCAAACATTTCTAGATTGCACCTGTTCCGTGTCAACGTCAGCGCTCTCCTATTGTGAAATTATGTTTTCTTTTTGAATTGCAGGAAATTTCAGGCTGATAAAACATTATATAAATCAAAGGCACGAACAATTTGATGCAAATAGATATTTCTAACATAACCTCAAAATAGAACGCTGACACGGAACAGTAGACAACTATGAAAATCAAGGAGGGCGTAACGGCATCCTACAATTGTAGGAACGACTGACGATACGGCTCTAACTGTCCAAAATCTAAACGCATTCTAGCGAAGAAACTTTTCAAAAACTTTTGCGTCTATGCAATCTCGACTGAAGTTTGTTTCGCTCAGATTGTTTGGAGGCCATAAAACATCCATTTTCTTGCTCTAAAATAGTGATCCACGACACATTAGGGTTTTTTGACGATTAAACTCGAAACCGGAATCCCAAATTACTTGTGGACAAGGGGAATGAAAACAGAGATTGTGAGTTGTGAAACTAAGTTTTGAATAATATGGTTAGGGACATAGTTGAAACGAAGAGATATATTCTACCTTACAATTGAAAAATTCTA